GAAGAAAAAAATTAAAAGGAAAAAGGCTGAGCTATTTGCTGCCAGAGTCACAGTGGATGACTCTGCTTAGTGCTTAACTGTTTAAAAAAGCCTCTAAAAAATGTGCCCTCGGCAGGAGGAGGCAAGAGAACGAGGTGCCTCATCTACATCAGGAATTTTTCGTCTTTTAACCCTTGCTTAACTCTGCTCAAGTGATCATTAAGATAGACTAAATGAGGCACGTGGTTCTCCTGCCTCCTCCTGTAGAGGGCAGTTTTTTAGAGGCTTTTTTAAACAGTTAAGCACTAAGCAGAGTCATCCACTGTGACTCTGGCAGCAACTAGCTCAGCCTTTTTCCTTTTAATTTTTTTTTCTTTTCATGATGACAGTGGTGAGGCCCTGCCTCCGCTGCCTCCCCTGCCTGCACATCACTGCTGCTGGTTTATAATCTTCTCCCTACAACCCCTCCACAGAGACGACTTTAGAATGATGGCCGGAATAAGAGAAGCCTGATAGCAAAAACATAAAAGAATGATCTGGAGTGTGACAGCTCCATGACCAACATGGAGCAGCAAATCTGCAGAAGCTCTGCGGAGCAGCTACACATTAAAAGTATTATAAGAAACCACATAGATGTGGATGCAAACCTGGTTTAAAATCTGTATCAGAGAAGAAGTCATTCTTGAGGCTGGGAGGAAGGGAAGCAAAAGATTACTTGCAAAAATGCATCACATGAAACACAAAGGAAATGCAAACTCCCTGAAAATAACACAAAGCCCCTTTGGAGGCAGAAATGAAATAGTGCCATACAGAACCCAGAGGATTTTGGGGATGGGGTGGTGAGAAATCCATCCCAGGCAAAACAGATCGCCCTCCTGAGAAGCTGCTGAATTTCCGGTGCTGACAACACTGTCATTTCAATATGAAAAAAGCATTTTTGTTTATTATGAAAAACCTGTCAGGAAATTGGCACACTGCTGGTGCATGAAAAATTGTGTCTCTGTCGATAATCAAGTAAAACATCCCTGTTTATCTGAGAATAATTATGTTGTCTGCTCAGAATCAGTCACATATTTCACCAGGGAAGGGCTGTGATAAATCAGATCTCTTTATTTTGGTCTTTGACCAGCTTGCTATGAGAACGATGGAACATGGGATTAACATGCAGGCACTTCCACGTTCTAGATTTTATCTCTGTTATCTGGAGAAGTAAGTGGTCTGTCTGAAAGGTTGAGGAATATCTGTTTCAAAACAGACAACAATGAAATGGCTGGACTAGTAAGTCTTTTCCAGTATACTGTGTTGGAAGAAATGTCCTTCTAGGTTCAGTTCCAAGTGGGGAAAAAGACACTGGAAACATGGAGGCTGCTTGGAAAGATGGTTTAATGGTGGACAGGACCACATGGCTTGAATTCCTGAACAAGATCACATGGTTTGAGTTCCTGAGCAGAAAAAGGGCAGAGATGCCCTCTCTAGGTCCCACCCCAGAGCTTCCCATTCCTGTCCAAGAAATGTATCCCATTGGCTGCCAGGCAGACTCCCAGGGGGCAGGTGTCTTAGCTAACTTTGTAGGCTGTCCTAAGACCCAAGCTTGTTTGAGCCTTGCTGATGTAATCTTCCCAGGTGCCATGTGGTGAGTTCATGTTTGCTAGATGGGTCTTCCTGAAGGAGGTAGATCTTTGTTATATAGAATCGACTGGATCAGACCTTAATGGCCCATTGACAAAGGTGGGTGCTGAATTTCTGCTTTTCTGGGTTTCTACTTCTCTTTTAGGGAAAATATTCTGCCTTTTTAGTATATCCTAAAATATTTCATTTTTCTAGGAGAGGGCTGGGTTTTAACTTCCAACAACTGTAAGGAGATTTCTTGTCTCTACACAACCTACAGGTCCAGAGCAGTGGAGAAAAGTGCTCCAGATTATGCAGTTGTGATATCTGCAATTGAGGTATCAGTGACCTACACCGTAGCTTTATGCCCCCCCCCGCCCCAAACAACTCCATAAAGCAATTCATTCCTGCCAATCAGATTTGGCAG